ATATTTTCTACCTTAAGTTTTAACTAAACTAAACAAAATCGTAAGAGAATTTAGTATTTTAAAGAATGATTTCAATTTCAAGTTTGTTGCTTAAGTCTTTTGTTTTTTATTATGTTTGCTGTTGCATTTAGCCAAAAGTAACATTTTATTTAACACTTTTTAAATAAATTTAAAGAAACCGAAACTGGTTAATCTTATTAAAAAAACTGTTAAGAAAATTAATTAATTTAATTTGAAATAAAAAGAAAACAATGATACAAAAGTGTTTTTTTAATTAAAAATTTACTTGTTTGTATGAGTAAGTAGGTGTAAGTATTTTGAACTACTGGTATTTATGAAAATATTTATTGTAGCATTGCTTTTGTTACATTTTTATTTAGTCTACTTTGTTGCTAGTTTTTTGGAATTTTTGTTTTGTTTTTTCTTTGTGTTGGAGTGGAAAATTACAACATTTACAACTTCACGCAATCCTAAGACAGATTTAAAGCAACACTAGCCTCGATGGCAAAAACAAAAAATACAATAATGAAAAAGTTCAACATTTACACCTAAAACTTGAAAAACAAACTTAGGGCAATTGACAAAATGCGAAAAGTTTTTTTTAGAATCTAAAAACTTTGTTCTACAAAGATTTATATTTTTATTTATTAAAAAAAATTACAAATATATTTTTACTTATTACCCGTTCTTCAAGGCTCTGGTGTTTTAATTTGTTTATATTTCATTTGAAAAAAAAATTCATACATGTTTCATAATTTACTTAGTAGCGGGAGATTTTTAAGGTGTTTTTTTCTCTGTTTTCATCTTTTCATGTCTTCACACACAATGGCGTTTTTTTCTAACATTTTTCCAAATAAAATGTTTCTTCTGCTTGTATTAACAAATAAGCAAATGAAAACAAAAGTTTTGTAAACAAAAAAAAAAAAAAAACAAAAATAAAGAATTGAGGAAAAAACACACACAAAAACTAACAACAAGCATGAAATATTTGTTATTTATGTGGCAGCATTATTGCGGCATAAATGGATTTTTTTCAAACATAAATGAGTTGCTTCTTTTTTTTTTGTTGTCCATAAAGAGGCATGCAAAATATTTTGATGCTTTTTAAATTTAAAACAACAAGTAATAAGGTAAAAGAAATTTTTATAATTATTTTTATCTTAGATTTGAATAATTACCAAGGGATTTTATTTGACCTTTACTTTTGTTGAATAATATTCATATTTAGTTATTTAGATTATATAATCTTTCGAATTTTCCGTTTAAACATAAATTTGTTATTTAATTTCCAAAATATAAGAAGCTTTGTTTTTTCGCGAATATTCCTAGAATTTGTTGTGTTGTTATTAAAAGCAAAAAAGTTGCATACTCTTAGAAACATATTAAGATAGCATGCGAAAATGCATGAAACAAATTGTATTAATAAAGACTTTTCTGAACTATTATTGTTGTAGAAAAACTCTTGATAGAAACTTTTTCTTTATATACTTTATTGACAGAAAGTTCTTTTATAAAAAGTCTTGATAGAAATTTTTACTTTAAAAACTTGATTGACAGAAAGTCAATCAAAAAGAGCTATTTCAATAGAAAGACTTTTGAAATAACTTTTTCTATATACAAACTTTTTGCAAGAACTTTTTTAATAGATAAACTTTTGATGAGAACTTTTTCTATAAAAAATTTTTTGAAGAAACTTTTTCTATAGAAAAACTCTTAGCAGTAGCTTTATTAGAAGCTTTCCAAAAGAACATGCTTTTGATGGCAACATTTTCTATTAAAAAACTTACGACGGGAGCTTTTACTAGAGAAAAACTTTTAACAAACTTTTGATGAATGAATGAATGAAAAACTTTTTGACAGTAACTCTTTATGGGAAATTGTTCAATACAGTAACATTTGGTGGGAACTCTTTCTATAGAAAAACATCTGAAAGAAACATTTTCTATATAAAAATTCCAAGCAAGAGCTTTTTCAATGGACAAGCTTTACAATAGATTTCCTCTAAAAACATTTAATGGGACTTTCTCAATGAAAAACTTTTAGCAGGAACTTTTTATGGGAAATTTTTCAATAGAAAAAGTTTTGGTAAGAGCTTTTTCCATAGAATACTTTTAGTAAGAAAATTTTTCTATAGAAAAACTTTTGATGGGAACTTTTTCTATAGAAAAATTCTAAGCAGAATTACTAGAGCTTTTCTATAAAAAAAAACTTTTAACACCAACTCTACACAGAGGGATAAGGAAATATACACGCCTGGTACCAAATTGACACCAAAGAGTTTATAATTTTTCAATAACATCCGTGGTCAAAGTATATACATACGTACGACAACACTATGTAGTGTTGACAACGTTTGATGAATGAATGAATGAAAAACCTTTTGACAGTAACTCTTTATGGGAAATTGTTCAATACAGTAACATTTGGTGGGAACTCTTTCTATAGAAAAACATCTGAAAGAAACATTTTCTATATAAAAATTCCAAGCAAGAGCTTTTTCAATGGACAAGCTTTACAATAGATTTCCTCTAAAAACATTTAATGGGACTTTCTCAATGAAAAACTTTTAGCAGGAACTTTTTATGGGAAATTTTTCAATGGAAAAAGTTTTGGTAAGAGCTTTTTCCATAGAATACTTTTAGTAAGAAAATTTTTCTATAGAAAAACTTTTGATGGGAACTTTTTCTATAGAAACATTCTAAGCAGAATTACTAGAGCTTTTCTATAAAAAAAACTTTTAACACCAACTCTACACAGAGGGATAAGGAAATATACACGCCTGGTACCAAATTGACACCAAAGAGTTTATAATTTTTCAATAACATCCGTGGTCAAAGTATATACATACGTACGACAACACTATGTAGTGTTGACAACGTTGCGTTGTTGTAATCTAAATTTTATACACATCCGTTGTCTTAATATTAACAAACGTGGTAAGCTCACTATTGACAACGGATGGGTGTAAAATTTAGATTTCGACAACGAATTGTTGCAATGTTATCAGTGTTGTCGTACGTATGTATATACTTTGACAACGGATGGTATTGAAAAATTATAAACAGTTTGGTGTCAATTTGTTACCAGGCGTGTATATTTCTTTTTCCCTCTGTATATACGCAAATTTTTAGCAGGATCTTTTTCCATGAAAAGCTTTTTTAATGGGGAAACTTTTGACTTTTTTAATGAAGATTTTAGCAGGAACTTGGAATTTTTTCCATGGAACTACTCTTGGTGGGAACCATTGCTATAAAATAAATTTGGAATAAAACATCTTCTATAAAAAATTCTAAGCAGGAGCTTCATCAATAGTAGTAACTTTCTATGGGAACTATTTCAAAGAAAAATCTTTTGGAAAGAACATTATATTAGGGAAAAACTTTTGGTGAGAGCTTTTTCTTAAAAAAAACTTATGGCAATACTATTTCTATAAAAAAATTGTAAACAGGAGTTGTTTTCCAACGGATATGGACAAACTTTTAGCAAGAAGTTTTTATGACAAATTTTTCAATGGAAAAACTTTTGGTGTGAACTTTTTAAAGAAACGCTTTACTAGAAAACATTTTCTATACTAAGTACCTTAACGGGAGAACTTTTGGCGGAAAATTTATCTATAGAAAATTTATGAAAAGATTTTTTTATAAAAAAATCTAAGAGCTTTTTCAATGAATAGCTTTTATATGAAAAACATAAATTTTTTCTATTAAAAAACCTTATTAGAAAACTCTTGACAAGATCTGTTTCTATAGAAAAGCTATTGGCTGAAACATTTTGGTCAATATAAAATGCTCGATAATTTTTTCTTTATAAAATGTTTCATGAATTTACTATCTACAATTATTTTAATGACTTCATTTATCAATAGATTCCAAATACAATATTTTTAACACTTTTATCAACAAACCGTTTTAAACTTTAACACGACTAAAACTTTGTTGCCCTAATTGAAACATCACAGTTTCCTATATTTAGATAAACTATCAAGGAAGCAACATATCATCACTTTTAACTGGCTTTTAAAAAATACGATTTATTTACTAACTTAAAACTAAGCATGTATCTTAAGTCTTTAGTTTTCTTTCACTATGACAGTTTCCCCCTGTTTAAAGCATAAAAGGAAATAAAGATTTAAATAAATGTAGCATGATTTTTTTCGTTCAACAGACAAAATAAACTAACTATTATTTAACTTAAATTTCTCTTTTTTCCCTAAAAAATATATTTAAATAGTTCCCTAAAGATGTTTCAAACTAAATCTTTTTTTTTATATAAGAAAATAAAAACCTGAATAAAACGTAATAAATGAAAAAAGTCAATTGTAATTTGACCTTTTTGAAAAAGCTTGCCAAAAAAAGTAAAGAGGAACTACAAGCACAAAGTAACAAAACTGACAAATAAAATAGACAACAGCAACAACAATAACAAAAGGGGAAAGAAAAACTACATAAATGGCAATAACAAGAGCAACATTACCAAACATAAAATAGTAAAAATCAGCAACAAATTTTTATTTTTTTTTTTGGAAATTCTGTTAATGTTTTAAACGCTAAGAAAACATGATTCTTGGCGTTTGTTGGTTTGCTGGTTATTGTTGTCAAAGTTGTAGTTAAGTATTTTAAATATCAATTTACAAAAAAAAAAAAATTAAATATTTCATTAAATTGACATCAGCAGACATTAGCTGAATAATTTAAATAATAAAGAATAAAACTTAAAGGTTTTAGTTCTAACAATAGTTTTGGGTAAAATAAATTTAATATATATATATATTTTTTTTTTTGCTGGAGAACTAAACAAAGAAATAATCAGGAAGTTAATTTGTGGTTTTTGGAGGGTTGGTGTGAATAATTGTAAATTTTACACAAAATTTAATTTAAAAAAAGTAAAAATAATTATAATTATTAGCTTTACAAGTAACTATACATACAGGTCTATATGTGTAAATTTTTTTTTTTTTTTTAAATAAGTTAGAATTAATAAAATATTACAACATCTCTTACCTTAATCAACGTATAATGGTTTGACACTGTGTAATTTGAATAAATAGATAAAGCTCTTCACACCCAGTTATCTAGCAATACGAAATTGTGGATTTTTTTCTTTATATTTAGAATTTTTTTATAAACAATTTTTTTGTTCTATTGAAGCTTTAGAGGTTTTAGTTTTACGTTTCTGTTTTTTTTTTTTTTTTGTAATTTATTGATTTTATTTTAGCGACTTTTGTTTGGCAAGATTCAACTGATTGTTATTTGTAACTGATTTGGTTTCGTTTACTGTTTGTTTAAATAAATTTATGATTTTATGAAAATAGATATTTCTATAATATTGGCAAAACATGAACAACCATCCAAGCTCACGTTTTCCACTGACAAAATCATAAATAATATTTAAATAAACAAAACAAAAAGAAATACAGCAAAAAACAGCAGCTTGTGAGTAAAAATACTGTAACAGTTTGTAATTTTATATATTATTATGTAAATTTCTTGAACGTTTAAGTGTTTTTGTTTTTTTACTGCAATATGTTTTTCTTTTGACACCTTTTCCTCTAACAAGTTGTTAACGAGAAATGTCTTTTTTTGTTTGCTTTCAAAAGATCACTTTGAGTTTAAAGCAGCAAACACATCAAAAATGTGTTGTGTGATGTGACAATACTTTATTACCGCACGAGTTTATGCAAAATTTTGAAAAAAAAGTAAATTCTTTGCCGAATTTCAAATTCATTCAAATTCAATAAGCACGAGTTGTAAAAAATTTTGAAAAGAAAAAAATCTTTAAGCTGGTTTGGCTGGTGCATGTAAAATATGAACAAAAAAAAAAAAAGAAATATTTAAAAATCTAAACATCGAATAATGCTCAAACTAAGTTCTGCTATTTGCAATTTTTATTATGGAAGTACCCAGCTCATTGTATTAAATGACAAGACACCAAGGAAAACTTGTTAGCATTTACAATTGTTGACGACGACTACAATAACAATAACAGCAGCAGCAACAACACAATAAAGAATATTTACAACATTAAATATTAATTATAACAATATATTAAATATTTATGATTTTTTAAATTATTTTTAAAATAAATTCCAATATTTAAAAAATTTTTATTAAACACTCTGTTTCAATTGATTTTTTTATAAAATTTTATTTTATTACTTATTACATTTATATCTTTATAAACGTTTTTAAAGTCTTTTGACGTACAAATGAATATTCCGTTAAACACAACCGCTTTAAGCAAAGTTCAAATCAGAACTAAAATTCCCAAAGCTTTGAAATTTATTATTATGAAAAACTTCTTTAACATCATCATCTTCTCAAAATGTGCAAAGAAAACTAAAACATCTTAACATCAATGTATACAATACAATAATAACAAAACAAATGTATACAACTAAAGTAAACATCATCTCATCATCGTTAAGCAAACAATGACTACAACAAACACACGGTTGTTTTTTTTTAAATAAACATACTGCAACAATGACTAGTTTTAGCCATAAGTGCAGAGAGCTAAAATTAAAAAAATGATTTAAAAGTTTTTAAAAAAATATTTTTCTAAATTTTTTCATGAATTTAAAATAATTTTTTAAATTTATTTTAAATAGCAAATCTTTACAATCATTTAATAATACATATTGACAACTTAAGAATTTGTTAATAAATCAACAATGTTTCAAAAGTTTTAGCGCTCTTTCTCTCTCTTTGCTAATGTTTCTCAACATTGTTGCTGTCAACAGTAGTGGGTGCATAATGTTTGTTGCTTAAGTCTTTTGTTTTGCCAGACATCTCAACAAAAACAAAAATAATAATATTTACCGTAAACAAATGATAATAAAAATACACTCACACACACACACACTATGTATGACCACATTTACTGTAAACAAAAACATTGCATACTTTTTGCTCAGTGGGCAAGAGAGATAAACTTAATTATGAAATTAGGATAAACATAATTATGTTAATTTGAAAGAAACAAGAGCGCTATTTTCGGCAGAGGCGACAGTTATGTGGCAATGAAAAGGTAAAAGTTTTATAGACTCAATATGGATCGGCCTTTTGGATAATAAATAATATAGACTAGACTATAGGCAATGAACTAGATTACAGACTAGATTTTGGACTAGACTATAGACTAGACTAGACTAGACTATAGACTAGACTATAGACTAGACTATAGACTAGACTATAGACTAGACTATAGACTAGACTATAGACTAGACTATAGACTAGACTATAGACTAGACTATAGACTAGACTAGACTAGACTATAGACTAGACTATAGACTAGACTATAGACTAGACTATAGACTAGACTATAGACTAGACTATAGACTAGACTATAGACTAGACTATAGACTAGACTATAGACTAGACTATAGACTAGACTATAGACTAGACTATAGACTAGACTATAGACTAGACTATAGACTAGACTATAGACTAGACTATAGACTAGACTATAGACTAGACTATAGACTAGACTATAGACTAGACTATAGACTAGACTATAGACTAGACTATAGACTAGACTATAGACTAGACTATAGACTAGACTATAGACTAGACTATAGACTAGACTATAGACTAGACTATAGACTAGACTATAGACTAGACTATAGACTAGACTATAGACTAGACTATAGACTAGACTATAGACTAGACTATAGACTAGACTATAGACTAGACTATAGACTAGACTATAGACTAGACTATAGACTAGACTATAGACTAGACTATAGACTAGACTATAGACTAGACTATATAGACTAGACTATAGACTAGACTATAGACTAGACTATAGACTAGACTATAGACTAGACTATAGACTAGACTATAGACTAGACTATAGACTAGACTATAGACTAGACTATAGACTAGACTATAGACTAGACTATAGACTAGACTATAGACTAGACTATAGACTAGACTATAGACTAGACTATAGACTAGACTATAGACTAGACTATAGACTAGACTATAGACTAGACTATAGACTAGACTATAGACTAGACTAGACTGTAGACTAGACTATAGACTAGACTATAGACTAGACTATAGACTAGACTATAGACTAGACTATAGACTAGACTATAGACTAGACTATAGACTAGACTAGACTATAGACTAGACTATAGACTAGACTATAGACTATAGACTAGACTATAGACTAGACTATAGACTAGACTATAGACTAGACTATAGACCAGACTATAGACTAGACTATAGACTAGACTATAGACTAGACTATAGACTAGACTATAGACTATAGACTAGACTATAGACTAGACTATAGACTAGACTATAGACTAGACTATAGACTAGACTATAGACTAGACTATAGACTAGACTATAGACTAGACTATAGACTAGACTATAGACTAGACTATAGACTAGACTATAGACTAGACTAGACTAGTCTATAGACTAGTCTTTAGACTAGACTATAGACTAGACTATAGACTAGTCTATAGACTAGACTATAGACTAGACTATAGACTAGACTATAGACTAGACTATAGACTAGACTATAGACTAGACTATAGACTAGACTATAGACTAGACTATAGACTAGACTATAGACTAGACTATAGACTAGACTATAGACTAGACTATAGACTAGACTATAGACTATGTTTATGTTAGACTAGACTATAGACTGCGAGTTAATGATCAATCAAACATTTAAGGCAAATTTATCGACGTAGTTTTCTCTAAACATGTTGTCTAACTCTTAACAATGTATCTAAACAAAGAGTGGGAGTTTAAAGATGTTCACGAGCCGTTTGTTTTCTCTAAAATTAAAGCAAAAAACAAGTAGTTGTTTCACTTTAAAAGAATTTTTAACAATGTTCTGCTTTAATGCGAAAAACCGGAAAGATTTAAACTTAATAATAGTTTTAAGAATAAAATCAATACAAATCAATATATACATAGGTGTAGACATTTTAGAGCAAATCTCATAAATTAAGCGATGTGTACACCATAAAATATGAGATTAAAGCCGGATTTCTGGAATGCTAAAACTAACTAGTCTGGAAATGTTAAATAATTTTTAAATCAAAGATGCTCTATAACCGTTATTAATGTTATTTATTGCCAAATGTGCATAATCTATTGTTAATATGTTTTTAATTTAAATTATATGCATTTTTAGTCTAGCGCATGTTAAGTCTAGCGGCCTAAAACAAATATTTATGTTTTTTTAATACAACTTAACGTGCAGCTATACAACTTGACAATTTAGAAAAAATCAAAACGAAATAAAATAAAAATCTGCATAAAATTGAGAATTTTATTAAGAAGTAGGTGTTGTTTGACATTCGACAGCAATAACAGCAGCAGCAACAATAATAACAAAAACAACAGTATTTATAACATTTTTTTCTAAATATTTATTTTGAATACAAGACAACAAGTTAGAAAACAAGTCAGCAACATGAGAGAGACCTCCTCTGCTCGTATTCGGAAAAAAGATTAATAATTGTACATGTGCATTAGGGTGGCAATTGTTAGTGTGAATAACAAGATAGACATATATACCCCTCTGACGATGGTGAACAGCAACAGTACTGATAAAAATTTTAATCATACCTTCTGTCTTATAGAAAACATACCTTAAATATGCTGTGTTCAAACTTAAAAATATTTTGGTGTATTCTTTCTTTATATTTGTAAATAGTTACCTTTATAAAGAACCACCCTAATTTACATATGATCTCTTAATAAAACAACTAGCAATATAAGTAGAAGATGAAATAAGTAGAAGAAAAATATAAACCGGCAATATTAATATAATATTTGCACATTAACCACCAAAAAAAAAACAAAAACTCATGTATGGAATTCCCACGTTCTAAACTCTAATGTAACACTAGACTAGACATGACATAAAATAAAATAAGAAAAAATTTGGTTAATAAAGCTTCTTATGACACAGCAAATGACATAGACATACGAGAATATTACATATATTACATCACACACTAAGTTAAAAAAATAAAAAAAATATATATATTAATTTACTCATAAAATATTTGTAACAAATACTCAAACGTTTGCCAACCAAATAGTTTAATTTTATACAAAATAATCTTGTATTTAACACTTTTAAAATTTTCATTTGAAAAAAATAAAGATTCATTCTGTTCAATAAGAAAAATTACTTGGCAATATTACTGACCTTGTTGTGTTGCATTGTGGCTGTTATGGATTGAAAGTAAATTGTGAATTTATGGTCAATTACACAGATTCACATACTCCGACATTTGTCAATTGATCTTTTTTTGCTGTCGAGCTTTTTTAAGGACTTATAAGGCAATTACTATATGTCAGCATGTTATAAATTATACATAAATACAACAGCATACTAAATACATATATTTTTCTCATCTTCTTTTTAACGACTACTTAAATAATAGACTTCAGCTAGGAGTTTGTGTAAAAAAAAGAAAAAAAAAAAAAAGCTGACAATATATTGGGTTTGGCTTTAAGCAGTTGTTTGTAGTTTTTACCAAATTCATTGTGTATTTGCTGTTTTTCTGGTGTTTTACAAGTATTTGTTTAAATTCTAATCTTCTATTCTGAATTGTTAATTTGAACATTAAATGCATTTTTTTAGTGTTTATTTATTGGTCACATTTTTTTTAGATAAAGTTTTAGTTAGATAAGGAAATTTGTATTGATGTTTTAGTATAATATATTAAGGCATATCACAGAATTTTCCTTATAAGTAATTCAAGAATATTTATCAAAAAGAATTTTAGTTTTTTCGCTTTCGAAAAATATACATATTATAGACTAGACTATATATGATCTAGTCTATATTCTAGTCTATAGTCTAGTCTATAGTCTAGTCTATAGTCTAGTCTATAGTCTAGTCTATAGTCTAGTCTATAGTCTAGTCTATAGTCTAGTCTATAGTCTAGTCTATAGTCTAGTCTATAGTCTAGTCTATAGTCTAGTCTATAGTCTAGTCTATAGTCTAGTCTATAGTCTAGTCTATAGTCTAGTCTATAGTCTAGTCTATAGTCTAGTCTATAGTCTAGTCTATAGTCTAGTCTATAGTCTAGTCTATAGTCTAGTCTATAGTCTAGTCTATAGTCTAGTCTATAGTCTAGTCTATAGTCTAGTCTATAGTCTAGTCTATAGTCTAGTCTATAGTCCAGTCTATAGTCTAGTCTATAGTCTAGTCTATAGTCTAGTCTATAGTCTAGTCTATAGTCTAGTCTATAGTCTAGTCTATAGTCTAGTCTATAGTCCAGTCTATAGTCTAGTCT